CCCTCAGGTGCACAGAAAAGCGTGAGGCAAGCGTAGGTGGCCACAGCCACGAGAGGCTGTAATTACCACCTCTTCTAACTTGAGAGACCCTGAAGCAGGTAATTGCACTTACCAAGTGATTTAAATGTACTCTAGAAAGAAAACAAAACAAAAAAAAAATAGCTTTGGCAACTAGGCAGGACATTTTCAGAAGAGGATAAAATAAGGCAATATTTTATGCTTCTTTAACTGTTTAAAACACTTAAAACACAGCATATATTTGAGTGTAGGCACACTAATCAATTGCACTTTCAATAAAGAGAAGTGGCAAACATTAAGCAGTGTTTCTCAGGGAGTTGAGTTAGCCACGCTGATACTATTTTTAAAAACATACATTCCTCCCAGATTTTACCTGTTACACTTTCATTTAACATGCCATAATCTGAAAGCGGAAAAGAAATCACCCACACTAGGAGAAAGAGGGAAAAGAATCCAGGCTTTCCAAGTACAAGAAGATGTGTTTTGAGTCCTAGCTGCTCAGTTGTCCGACATTAGATAAGTCATTTTTGCTTTGTTTTTCCTGAGTCTTAAATTCACCAGCTACAAAATTGGGAAAATAATATATCTAACTCACAGGTGTGAAAATAAAGTATCATGATAGAGTCACCTCATATGCTGATTATAAAGCAATACAATAACCAATACTTCACTATGAAAATCTACATTTCCATTTTAAAATATAACATTTACTCATTAATATACAAAAATGAAACCATTTGGATTAATTTGCTGTAAAATTATTTATTGACAGATTTCTGCCAAGAAAATGAAATTTACTACTGCCAGAAATAAAATTTCAATGACTTAATAAGCACATTAAAATGGAGTATTTGACTTAGAAAATAGTAATAAATACACTCTTTGATTGGTACTTAGTAGTCAAAGATTGTTCCTCTGTGATACGCCAAAACAAAATAAGAATTTCTAAGAGGCAGAAAATAATCATTCCTTTGTTATTTCACAAAAAATTTATATCAGACACAAATACATAGCTGAGAAGTTTTTATACTTATTTTTAAGGCTTCCTGATTGTCACCATGCAGCTATTAAAATAGCTATGTCATAGCAATCAGCATTTATTCAACCATATGATATGAACACTACAACTAGAGTGTAGCATTCTCTCAGTCTTGATTAAAATGGAATGTGGAACCAGCACTCAGAGCTTGCACAAATTAATAAAGTGAGAACTTTTCCACAGGTTATTTTTGGGGTCTCAAAGGAATCATTTCCCCAGATGGTGACAAAATTTTAGGCTTCTGAATTCACCACTGGATACTAGCTAACAACATAGTCAGCGTAAGTTGTGTTCTATTCTATGTTACAGGACAGCAGGCTGAGGCCAGGGAGATGCTGGTTAAGGCTGAGAGATCTTAAACTTGGGGAAAGGGGTATGGAACTTGAAGAAGGGAAGAAGATGGACGTCACACTTTCTCAATCAATACTGACCCTGTATTTAGATATACAATATTTATCAATTATATCCAACTTCTGCTTTTCAGAGATTGCTTAAAATGAACACAATATATATTTCCATAAACTTTCCCTCCATTTCTTTTTTTTTCCTCCATTTCTAATAATAGAACAAGATTAGTAGATATTCCTAATAAAACAGTAACCAGATTCTCTCAAATCCACAATCCACTTGAAAGTCAAAGCACTTTCCTTAAGCCATCAAACTATGCACCAAAGGCATCTCCTGTGGACATTTATAAATGAATAAACATATGTGACAAAGACTCAAAACATGTGAAAGATAGTTTTAAAAACAAATAGGCTTTCTACAGTTGGAAGTAAAACTACAGGTGTCAGTGAGCCTGACACCATTTTATGTCACAAGGCCCACAAATTAAATGTTTCTCAAATAAAGAATTAGAAAAAAAAAGAACACTATAATTCCAAATGTCAAGACATTTATAAATTTGAAAGCAACTACGAGTGTAAGTTATTTTTACTCTATCCCCTCCCACAGATACGGTTATTCTCAAAATACCTCAAAGCACTTTATAGTCATATTTTTACTTATTGCAGTCAATATGCATTCTCAACATAAGCATTCAATAGGGATAAATCAATGCTCATTAGCATGCTGTTTTCATCCACTTAATGCAGCATAACTAGCTTTAAAACACAATCTCATATACTTGCAATCTCCATTGGCTTGCACACCAATGACCGATTTCGAGTAATTCCTGGTTAAACAAAAATCACATTATATTAACAACATATTGTGTGGTTCTGCTAAATTTCAAAGGTCTATTTTAACGAAAACCTTTAAAAGATAAGAAAACAGATGAGATATTTAAAAGAGAGAAGTTTGGGCACAGAAGTCAACAGTAAGTCATCAGCAAGAGCTAAATGATACAAAGAGCCCAAATGTCCATCGACTGATGGATAAAGAAGATGTAGTGTATATACATACAATGGAATATTACTCAGCCATAAACAGAATGAAATCTTACCTATTTTTAAAGATTTTAATTATTTATTCATGAGAGACACACAGAGAGAGACAGAGACACAGGCAGAGGGAGAAGCAGGCTCCGTGCAGGGAGCCCGATAACGGGACTCGATCGTGGGACCTTGGGGTCACGCCCTGACCTGAAGGCAGGTGCCACACTGCTGAGCCACCCAGGGATCCCCAAAATCTTGCCCTTCGTAATGATGTGGATGTAGCTATGGAGTATTTTGCTAAGTGAAATAAGTCAGTCAGAGAAAGACAAATACCACATGATTTCAATCATATGTGGAATTTAAGAAACAAAACAAATGAACATAGGGGAAAGAAAAAAAGAGAGGCAGACCAAGAAACAGACTTTTAACTATAGAGAACAGGCTGCAGGTGGCTAGAGGGGAGGTTGGTGGGAGGATGGGTGAGATAGGTGATGGGGATTAAGGAGGGCCCTGGTGATGAGCGCAGGGGTTTTTACGTAAGTGATGAATCACTATATTCTGCACCTGAGCCTGGTATTGCACTGTGTATTTACTTGCTGGAATAGAACAAAAACAAAAAACAGAAAACAAAACCAAACAAAAACGTGCGGAGGGAGAAAAGAGATCAAAAAGAAAATACTCGAACAGTAAATCACCGTTCATTTTTTTAGTCGGTATATACCTTATAGAGATCAAATGTATAAAGAAAGGTAATTTTACTGGAAAACATGTGTGGGCAATATTCTCAGTAAAACGAACTCCACTGTTCATCTTTTTACGTTAACATGGGGTATTTAATTTTGGGAGACAGAGTGAGCTATCCTCCAGTTTCCACAAGGTCTCCTCCTTTTCAGATTAGTTCTCTGACAAGCTGAGGTTGTGGAGGCCACGTGTCCCTCCCTCAGAAAAGTCACCTACTACAACCAGAACAACCTGCCACATAACCCAGAGTGAAAAGACTGAGTTGTACAGAAACTGTCAAAAGCGAATTGTGTGAATTAGGTTGAGCCATGGAGACGTAAACAATGTCTTCTAGGTCAAGCTGCCTATCAACCACACAATCGATGTACGATACCAAGCAGCAAATTAGTAAACTCTCTGCTGTCGAAATCTCAGACTAACAGTTGAGCAGTTAAACTCCCGGTGAGCACCTTTCAATATAAACATATAAAATGTATGCAGGTAAACATTAATATATTAAAATTGAGCTGGATTTTAAAATATTTAAAGATGGCCAGATATCAGGTAATTTCAAGGGTTTTGCTTTGATTTTAGATCAGTTCTCTTGGTGAGTAGCCCTGGAATACTGTAAAAACAAAAATACTATAAATGTCAAACACATGTTCAAGGAACAAAAGACATTTTATAGGCATTTACATGTTCATAGTTCCCTACAGTATTAGTTTTCAATTTTCAGAGCCTAAATCATTAAATGTTCAAGACACACAGATCCATGCACCAGCTCTGCAGGTGTTTTAACATAACGCTCGATGGATTAAAAAAAAATGGCTCTTTCTACTAAACTGAAAATCAAACTACCTTCAATAGCAAAATAAACAATACACTGAAAAACGCACTCTAATAACTGAAACAATTAAACTCGTCAGTGGCTTTTAATAAATAGCTAACAATTTCTCCCACTGTAACAATACGGCATAATTAGGAACTATGATATATATTTATGTGATAGTTTTTATTCCACTTTTCATCCTTTCTTTGTGCTTGGTCCACATGCTATTATTTTCATCACTTTGTCTCAGGCACAGAGGGGGCAGTTAACAAGCCTCTGTATGTCCTACAGCTGGGTTCAAGCTGCTGAGTTCATCTTCGACCACAGGTTTTGTGAACAGTTATCCCACCAAGGCCTTGTTCACGATAACTTTTTTTTAATTTTTTTATTTATTTTATTTTTTTTTTAAATTTTTTTATTTAGTTATGATAGTCACAGAGAGAGAGAGAGAGAGAGAGAGAGGCAGAGACATAGGCAGAGGGAGAAGCAGGCTCCATGCACCGGGAGCCCGACGTGGGATTCGATCCCGGGTCTCCAGGATCGCGCCCCGGGCCAAAGGCAGGCGCCAAACCGCTGCGCCACCCAGGGATCCCTCACGATAACTTTTTAATCTCTATTATCAGCTTTGGCCTCTGCACTGTCCATCACAAAATGACCAAGGGAGACATTTCCATGTAGCCAAAAGGTATTGAGCATTTGCTTGAACTGCAGAAGTTTTCTCTCTCAACAGTGATAGTACCTTCACCGGCATCCATCAGAGATTTTGGACACGCAAGCTGAGCAAAACTGGTGCACGAGGAAGGATCATGGATTCATAATAATACTGAATAATAACAGAGAAACACTGCTCTTAAATAAGCCCAATTATGACACAAAGCTACGATTTGCCAAGTTCAATGGGACTCTTCGTGGGACTACATCATGTGCCACATAATAAGAACATTGGATATCGCGTGTATTTTGGACGTCTAATGCTTGACTCCGCCCCTAGGCAGAGTGGCCTGCTAGCCAGTCTTACCTGCACATTTGGTTCTGGTGATTAGTGGAGGTCCTGGGAGCCCCGTCCCACCTTCTCCAGGTCTCGTAAGCAGTACGCGGATCTCGTATTCCGTATCTGGATCCAAATGCCACAACTTGTAAGTTGGGGCATTGACCGCGTGTGTTTCTGTCCAGGATCCCGATGTCATCCGGTACTCCACTTCTTTCAGAATAATGGGACCATCGCCAATGATGGAGTTGGCATTCAGCTGAATCAGCAAATACGTGGGCCCCACACCTAGCAGCTGAGGAGGAGCAATAGGTCTGGGTGGTTCTACAAGAGATGAATGCACAATCGAATTAGTTAAAAATCCAAAATACTAAAATACCTAGATATATTAATGTCTCTCAAAGCTGAAGGGTTTCATGAATAATTTACTTAGAAGCACATAATAAGTACTTAAGGAAAACCAGAACATGAGTGATCTGGAAACTACTTTTAAAGAGCAGATACTTTCACTGATGGGCTATGACCCTTTTTACCACAAGTTTTCTTTTATTAAAAACATGTTTCTCCAGGAGATAAACTTGTACAGGCACAGAAACCAAGGGGAATAAAGGGGAAATGTTTAAAGATGGATAGCTCTGATTAGCTACTAATAGAGACAGTTGATCCCTGACATTCTGGAGGTCCTAAGACCTCTTACAAATCTCCATATTAATGAATACTGTTGTAACTCTTTATTTCATTCATGAAATATGGCAAAGGAGTGTTTTTGGCTTTGCTTTGTGTTTCCCTTCTGCAGAGCTCTGCAGATGAGATAAAGAGGAAGGAACAGCAAAGCTGAACTTAGAAGCCAATGCCAAGCGCTGACTTGTCTCTACACACTCACCACAGAATGTAAGAAATCGAAATTTACACCGAGGCAAAACCACAGGCATTGCGGATCACCAGCCTTTGGGAGCAGCAGGTGATAAGGCAAATGAATCAGACCTTAAACCCCAATGTCAAAGATGCACTACAACTTAATTTCGTAGACCTTAGATATTTGCTTGAAAGAACCTTTGGCAAACATTAATGTTTGAACTTATAGAAATGATGAAAGATGAATGAGGGCCCTCCGCCTTTTTTGTTGAATTTAACAAGGATGGAGCTGAACTCGATACTGGACTTTATGGAGGACTGCGCCGCTCTAGCTCTGTCCGTGTGGCCTGTCCACGGGGAACCCCATGTCAGGAAGATGCTCCCGTCACTACACTGGGGTCAGATCCTTCCTTGAATCTCTTGAACGACGCTTCTCAGGGAAGCCAAATGACTTTAAAAGAAACTGTTAATGTTAACAAAGCGGTAACTGCCCAACTATTGCTTTAAAGGTTTGTGTCCCTCATATGTAGAATTTGAGAAACAAACAGATGAACATATAGGAAAAGGGGGACAAAAGAGAGGGGAGAAAACCATAAGAGTCTCCTAACTATAGAGAACAAACTGAGGGTTGATGGAGGGAGGTGGGCAGGGGACGGGCTAACGGGTGATGGGCACTAAGGAGGGCGCTTGTTGTGGGCCCCTGGGTGTTATATGTAAGTGATGAATCGCTAAATTCTACCCCTGAAACCAACATTACACCATATGTTAACGAACTAGAATTTAAACAAAAATGTGAAACAAAAAAATAGGGGTAACTGTTGGCAAGGCGAGAAATATAGTCACTTTCTATATTTTCTGTTCAATTTTCATATAAAACCAAAAATCTAAGAAATAAAGTCGATTATTTAAAAAAAAATATTTGTGCACGTGTGTGTTTTAAGAACTAAAGCCAGGGACCCCTGGGAGGCTCAGCGGTTTAGCGTCTGCCTTTGGTCCAGGATGTGATCCCAGGGTCCTGGGATCGAGTCCCACATCGGGCTCCCTGCATGGAGCCTGCTTCCCCCTCTGCCTGTGTCTCTGTCTCTCTCTCTCTCTCTGTGTCTCTCACAAATTAAAAAATATATACATATTAAAAAAATTTCCTTCCTACAATTTGCTTTAGCTTTTTTTTTAAAGATTTTATTTATTTATTCATGAGAGACACAGAGAGAGAGAGAGAAAGGCAGAGACACAGGCAGAGGGAGAAGCAGGCTCCCCACAGGGAGCCCCATGTGGGACTTGATCCCAAGACCCCGAGGTCATGACTGAGCTGAAGGCAGACACCCAACTGCTGAGCCACCCAAGTGTCCCTAAATTTTATTTTAAGTAATCTCTACACCCAACGTGGGGCTCAAACTCACAAGCCCAAGATCAACAGTCACTCCACTAACATGAGCCAGCCAGGTGCCCCAAAGGAGGGCTATTAAACAGAAGCACACACCGCTTCCTCCTTTCCTTCAGTAGGGATGGGCTGGAGAAGATACAGAGAGAAGGAAGTTATAAAAGGACAGCCAATTTCATTCAAACTGGATTTTCTTTTTTTTTATATTTTTTATTTTTATTTATTTATGATAGTCACACAGAGAGAGAGAGAGGCAGAGACACAGGCAGAGGGAGAAGCAGGCTCCATGCACCGGAAGCCCGATGTGGGATTCGATCCCGGGTCTCCAGGATCGCGCCCTGGGCCAAAGGCAGGCGCCAAACCGCTGTGCCACCCAGGGATCCCCCCAAACTGGATTTTCTATTTTAATGGCAACACATGCTTGGACTAATATACAATGCAAAAAAACAAAACAAAACAAAAAAAAACAAAAACAAAAACAACCCTCATAGACAGGTTTTACCTTCTGGTACTTTTTTTTTTTTTTTTTTTTTTTTTTAATGATAGTCACACAGAGAGAGAGGCAGAGACACAGGCAGAGGGAGAAGCAGGCTCCATGCACTGGGAGCCCGATCCTGGGTCCTCAGGATCGCATCCTGGACCAAAGGCAGGCGCTAAACCGCTGCGCCACCCAGGGATCCCCTCTGGCACAGGTATAAAGGAAGCAAGGGTTTTCAGCTGTAGCCCAGGATTTCCTTTCAAACCCTAAGAGTAAAACAAGTATAGTTTCCATTTTATGAACCTCTGAATTACAAATATCTCTAACATAAGGAATAAGACCAGCTGGACGAGATCTCTGCGTACTAAAGTCAATTTCAATAGTGTTCCTCCAAAATTCATATGACAAATATTTACTGAGTGACCACTAATCGCTAGTCTGTTCTCTATACACTGGTTATTCATATACTATGGCAAGGGAGACGACGTAACAACATATCAACAAATTCATTTTTTGGAAATGAGAATTATGTAGAAAAGAGCATTTTATGGTGAGAGATGGTAGCTACACTTGTGGTGAGCACAGGATAAAGTGCAGTGTAGACTTGTGGAATTGCTCTTTTGTGCACCTGAAACTAATAAAACATCGTGTGGCAACGATACTCAGATAAAAATTAAAATTAAAAAATAATAATAACATTATAATAATTGAGTAACATCAATTTTTTCTATCCAAAATCATTTGAAGCATATTGTTAGTCCCATCAGTAATTATAGCTCATTATGGCAATAGCTTTCAAACTAGTTATCAGTAAAACCATAAGAGCTTGTGCTTCACTATGCTCATGTTTAAAACGAAAATAAAACTAAGATTATATAAGATAATGTATGTACTATGGAAAATCTACACGTAGAATGATTTCTCTTTCTATGAAAAAGTAGTTTTTAACACCCGGTTTACAAACTTTACAAAATAATTTGTTCTTGATGGTGTAAAGATTACTTCAACAATATAGGGTCAAAATTGTGTAGAGGGTGAAGCATTCCAATCTTCACAACTGACTTCAATTGAGAAGTTATAACATGAAAAGTTTAAACAAAACCAAAGCAGTGCGGATCCCTAGGTGGCTCAGCGGTTGAGCGCCCGCCTTCGGCTCACGGCATGATCCTGGAGACCTGGATCGAGTCCCCCGTCGGGCCCTGCATGGAGCCTGCTTCTCCCTCTACCTGTGTCTCTGCCTCTCTCTTTCTCTCTCTCTGTCTCTTATGAATAAATAAATAATTTTTTTTTAAAAAAAACAAAATAGTTAGGATTTTCCTTTATCTGCTAAAGAATGACAAAACTAGACATTTCCTATCGTGGAATTTTACCAACTAACCACTTTTATATTTCAAGTTTACAAAAGTCTTAGTAGACAGAAAGAGAAAGTTGATGTATTTTTCCAAACCTTATACTCAAAGGAAACTGAATAAAGAAATGAGCATAATAGAAGAAATGCAAATATCTTCCCAGACTATCTAAATGTTGTACATATTTTAAGAAGCAGTCTGTATTTTGCGAATAAGAATAAACTGAGTTGCCTCATATGTGCAATGTTTGTTTTCATTCCAGATGGCTCATATACTGACTAATTTAAGTAGTAAATGAAGTTAACTCCACAGCCTAGTGGGGTTCTAACCCAGAGCTGCAAGGCCTCACACACATCACAGCAGAACCACAACCAGAAGAGGTCTCGTATTTAACATGATGGAGTGATTTGTCAAACGAATTATGAATAGCAAACCTTGGTAACTCTATAAATTTACAAGTATTCGGAAACCTGAACTAATAGCTGTATGCTGAAGGATTAATCTCAGCCACCAAAACTCTGCCCGCCGTTGCTGTGGAAAATAAGAAGCGAACGAGGAAGGAGAGCAGAAGGGAGAGAAGGAGAGGGAAAAAGCTACAACAAAACATACTGATAGAAACAAATGAAAAAGTGAAGTGTAGTATTTCTTCTGTCATTTCTGTCCATTAAGGAAATGACACCTAAGAGAAAATAAAATTTGAAGTCAGGAGATTCTAATTTCACGAAATGCACACATGAATAGCTGGGTAAATACGAATGTGTTATTTAACTCCCTGACATTACAGTTTCTTCATTGGTAAACCGGGTATTACTCTAAGAAGTGCTAAAGACTTTACATTTCTAAATGTGTCAACAAGCCCCATATTTGCTGTTATTTTGCTTTGTTTTTCCAGAGAGCATATAAATTTTAAAACCCAAAACTAATATTCATCACTAGTGTTTTGTGTACATGAAGAAATGAGTTTGATGTAATCAGGTGCTTAGCCTGAAGAAGGGTAATAATTCACTCTGATTAGTTTTACATCTCACTTCCTATGGTCAAATAAACAAAAGGGCAAGTCCTGTTGTCAAAGCAGTCACTCAAACTTGGGACCGTGACAATGTTCAGAGAGGCTCGGAAGCATATAGCTTGATTAACAGCACGACTAGACGTGAAATCTAGCATTAAGGAGACTAATATACCACTACATACTAAATTTTTTATGTTGGAAGTAAAAAGTAGCCTCATATTAGCATACGTATTTTGTTTCTAGGCCCTTGAG